GGACTGGATCAGATGACTTTTAGAAGTGCCTTCCAACCTAAATCATTTTATGAGCCTACGATTCCTTTTCTAGCTTATACTATTTTATCTAGAGCCTCCTTTTAATTTTAGTGTGATATAATGCCAGGAATACATTGAATATTTCTGCTAGAATCTTTAAGAATAATGTAAGAGAACAGGACCAAATTTACAACAATAATTTTGAGACCCTCGCTTATTGCAATCTCTTCCCGGCATGACGGCAGCGTTTGTAGAGTATCATTAAAAAGTCTAGCCTCAGAATCTATACGTGAAACTATCAAGCTAAGTAACTGGCTATAGTAGGGCTAACCCATGATCTGATACTTAATGAATTACAGAAAGGATCTTATTTTGCTTTCTTTCTTGCAATATGAATCATTTCCAGATGTACAAATTGCTTAGATTGTTGAAAACAGCATTTCTTTCCGATTACTAAAGTACAGCAGGTGGGGAACAGCCAATTGAATTGCTTCAGACAGCAGTAGTGGATTGGCTTACCTTGCCAGTAAAGATGAGTGTGAACTTGGCTCACTTTGAATGGCTGCTGTCAGAGACCTCTCTTCATGTATCAGTCAGGGACAATACCTTAAAACATCTAGGTTTTTCTTCCAAAAGGAGTAGTTTTTCATTACATGATCCCTTCCACTAATAGATTGAGGTGCATAAACTTTTCATGGTGACAGCAAGGGACAATTTACCAGCACCTGCAGAATTGCTAATTAATAGTGCTAGAACCAGAAGCACAACCTCAATTTAAGGAAATAAATAAAAATTCTACTTAAATCTTATCCCAAAGAAACTACAAAGAGAAACTGCCCTCTGCTCATCAATAGAAGCTGGCCGTTTTGGGATTCTCCATGGAAAGATATTTCTGAACCAAAGCTGCCTGTTAATCTTTATTGTAGTAGTGAAAAAAGTAAACGCTTATTACAATTGGTAAGGCAAAAGCACATCACAGGAAGCTATTGGCATGTAAAAAGTAAATCAGGTCTTACAGGAGATAACCTTTGCTCACTAAGCCTGGCAATCCAGATCAACCTCTTAATAATGGATGACAATATATGAGCAGAAAGAGCTCCTCTACCAAAATATCCACTTGTAATTAAAGGTGATGACAATGATCTCCCTTCTCCAAACTTCTTTTTTTTTTTTTTGGGGGGGGGGGGGGTAGAAGGGAGAGAGGAGGAATGAAAAAGAGAATTCTTTCCAAACATATACACCACATAACAAAATAATAAGGCCAAGTGTGACAAAAACATTTATATTGCATACCAGAATGCAGTGAGAAGAGAAGGATTCACACAGTACTTCAAAACTGAGAAGTAACAATTTATCAGTGAGTCCATTGCTCCTCTGCTGAAGGAGCAGCAAGGTCCAAAATGGCCGTTGTCAGCTTCAATAGCCCATGTAGGCTCATTTCTTTTGGAGTGCAGATTTCAAAGTGAGCGGCAGCCCTCATTGCTGCACAGCCGTTGCAGTCATGGTACACCGGCACCATGCATATGCTGCAAATCTTTCAAGGGAAAGGTAGAGACAAACATATCCATTCCATTTTTCATTTATACTAAGGATTTTAAACGGGTAACTCCTCTTCTTTGTAATTATCTTCAATTGAAATCAATTACGTTTATGCTGTAAACTATCAGTGGAAGATTTCTAAAGACCTTGTATACAATATAACAGGATAAATTCCCCCATGAAGCTGTCAGATACTAGCAGACGGCAGGAGTTCTCTATTATCTACAGCAATATTTTTGCCTGAGATCCGTTCAATACAGCAAAGTAAAGGTTTCTGAGATTTAACTCATTTTTTAATACCTGAAAGTACTCCAGTAATCCTAACTGAGTTTTTATCCTTAAGTCAAACTGAATTGAGATACTCAGGTGTGCTTCAGAAATAAAGTGCCAGAATTCATCTACAGATACCAGCTCCCTGTAGTCCATTATGCAGCTGTATTTTAGCAAAGCAATCTTCCCGTGAAAACAGTGCTAGGCAAGAATTTCCACTACCCACTCAAACCTCATTTGAGTCCCTTACAATGCAGTTATAGCATTAAGAAACTGCTGGGCTTGCCTAAGAGCTTAACACTTGCTGCTTGCTACTCACTCTCTGGTGAAAGCTACCTCTCATGGATCAGCTGCTGAAACCGTATCACGTGAACACTTTCTCAGCTATCTCAGTACAGAGTTACCCAGATCAGGCTGCTTATGAAAGGCAATTAAACTACCATGGCCAGCTTCTCAGAAAAACAAATTAGAAGCACTCAAACAAATCATCTCACCTGCATGGCAGTAGTGACAGTACATTCTAGCAGGTTGGTGAACAGCTGGAAAGGGAAGGAAGCATCATCTTCAGCTAGCACAGCTCTTTCTGAAGCAAACATCGGACTTCACATTCAAACTTATGAGCTACTCCTTTTCATTTCAATACAATTGAATTGCTCCAATTTTATTTCAGGCTAACTAGGAGGACAACAGTGAAACACATATGCGAATCATAGAATCACTGAGGTTGGAAGGCACCTCTGGAGATTGTCTAGTCCAACCCCTCTGCTCAAAGCAGGGTCACCTACAGCACGTTGGTCAGGGCCATGTGCAGCTGGGTTTTGAGCATCTCCAAGGATGAAGAAGCCACAACCTCTCTGTACAATCCGTTTCAGTGTCTGACCACCCTTACAGTGAAAAAGCTTTTTCTTATGCGTGAGTGAAATTTCCTGTATTTCACTTTGTGTCCATTGCCTCTTGATCTTTCACTGGATACCACTGAGAAGAGTCTGGTTGTCGTCTTTAGTCCCCTCCAACAGCTATGTACGCACATTGAGAAGATCCTCCCCTCTCTCAGCCTTCTCGTCTCAAGGCTAAACACACTCAATTCTCTCAACTTCTGCTTTTACGTCAGATGCTCCAATCCTTCCTCCGTGGCCCTTTGCTATACCTGCTCCAGGACGCCCACGTAATACCTAATGCAAGTATGTAACAGTACAAAGAGGAAGCTTTTTGGGTGGGGGGGGGAGGGTAGAGGGGAGATCTAGAATGATGTTACAAGTCAATGCAGCTCTTTTTGGAGTCATTTAAGAGTATAAATTACTAGTGATCATCACCACTTTAATCCAATTGCCAGATCAACGTCACTTGCAACAAAAGGTAAGCTCTACCTAGGCTGACAATCTTGTCAGATGAAAATTTGAGATTGAATTTGAAATTGAGAAATAAATTCAAGTGACCAATTTAAATTTAAAAGCAATACCCACAATAGACTATTACTGGCATTGTGCTATTGCATAAAACAAATATCCTTTTGTAGTAGCAGTTGTATTACAGAAATTGCAGCTTTAGAGTTTGTTCAAAGTATTATTAACAGCATTATTAGGAATGATGCACCTTAGGGCAGGGTCTGTATAACAAGATCTCAGGTACTACTTTCAACACAAATTTATTAGTTAAAAAAAAAAAAAAAGCAAGCAAAAAAATCCTGCCTACCACTAATCTCAGTCTCTTTCCAGTAATGATAGTTTTAGAGAAGAGAGCAATAATGTTGTAAGGCACTGGAAAAGCTGTAGTTAGAAATCAGGTCAACTGTAAAATAATTCTAGCTTCCATTTGCAGCTAAAAAAAGACAGTAAACAAAAGGCTATAATAAATCCAATAAAGCATCCCTCCTATTATTCACTGCAATAACATGTTTCATTGTACTGCTAAATATTTAAAGAAACAATTCAGAAAGCAGAAAATCTAACTCCCACATTTTTATTGCTGAACTGATTTCCTTCTGGAACTTTCTGAAAGTTTCAACTGCCACAGGCTTTGTATCTCTCGGTACCACAGTCGGGCAGTCTGAATAGCAAGAAATAGCAGCAATTACTTTGAAAAGTTTGGCTTCCTTCCACAATGGAAAGAATGTGCATGCTCAGCACTAGCACTTCCCTGCGCGCATCTTAGCTACCTCAGAAACGTTTTCTCCCAGAGGCAGTGGACTTCGAGTTGCTAGCTTATCTGAAAGGTAAGGAAGACCTTCACTCCCGAGTCAAATCCCTGCAACAAAGCAGCCATGCATTGCTGAACTTTGAGGCAACAGAATACCCTCTCATAAGGAGGCAGACATCCAACTGGGCAGAGGGAAACAAGGCTCCGTGGATTTGTCAAAGACCATCTTCTTGCTTGCTCCAAAAGGTAAGCGTAATTACGATAGTAAAACTGAATTACCCTTGCATTGGCTGAAGAAAAGAACACTGTCCAAAGCCATACTGAAGATATCCACCACCTGAAATATCTCTAGGATAGGGCTCTGCTCATCCTACCTGAACAAAACCCCAGGGGTGGGAAAAAAAAAAAAAAAAACAACAACCCACACCACTCACTGCTTCTGGATTTCAGCCTGAAGTCATACGTGAAAGACATTTCATATATGCCTTTCACTAATGGAAATCTGTCATTTTCTTCTTTGATCAAGCTGTTCCTTCTTTCTCTAAAAAATTGAGCATCAGCACCTTAAATTGTCCATTCTTGAAAGAGCACCTTGTTTAAAATTTATGTGCCTTTATTAAAACATATTTTAAACAAGTAAGGCTCATATTTCAAAGGGGACCGATCTACCTTTAAACACACCAAGAGGAAAGCCCTAGTTCTATTGTATTTCAAATGACTTCACTGAAGACGACATATGTAAAACCTTCAAGTACAAATTTCCACTTTAAAAATAAAAGGTAAACTCACTACCTCAGTGACAAACTTCTAGAATGATTATCCATTTTACGGTAAATTCTGATTTATCTACTTCAGTTGCAAAAATATTTCTATGCTTTTAAATTCAAGGCAAGTCAACATCCTGATTTTTTTTCCATCCACTATTAAATATGGTTATTTAAGGAACCAAAAGGGCGAGCACCAAATGAACAACCAATGCTTCTAGCACGTTTAAACAAGAGTGCTTCACACCATTTACTATGGTAAGGCCCTTTTTAAATAAACATGTGACTCACTGTTTGTTTTCTTCACCAGGAGGTGGAGTCTTGCCATGCCCTTCCATTACAAAATCCTCATGTTCCATCTGCAAAGGCAAGCATTGCAGGTCAGAAATCGGTGAAGCAAAATGCACGTCACCTAAAGTGGCCCTTTTCCTTATAAGACAACTAAGGCAGCCACTTTATCACAGTGACTGGTCCAAAACAGACCATGTAGTTTCTTAGCAACACACATACATCTCCATCCCCATTGCTATGGTATCATTTTACAGCACAATTTTCAGAAAATCTTACAAGGGAAGAAGAATGACTTAATGGCTATAGCAGAAGACCGTCAGCCAGGTCCTAAAACATATCTAGGTCCTAGAACTTTCTCTGTTATGGACTTCCTTTGCTATTCTGAATAAAGATGACTTCTACCTTTCCTTCCTTACATATAAAGCAGGAAACAAAAAATTTACTTCTATGAACATCTCTGGAGAAAAACTAGAATTTGTAAAAAGTCTCATTAACCACAAATGGAAACTCCTGTAAAAGCAGAGTATTTCTTTTGAAAAACAACTTTTATATGAAAAGGAGACTCTCACTGCACATGCATAGCTTAGTTTGCTGGGTAAAAAAAGAGGCCTAAGGGAACCTCAAATAAATGCTGTTCCAATGACAACAGAAGGTAGGCATTTCCTTTGGCTTGCATGATAAAAGACTCAAAGGGGAGACTAAGGAAGTTTTCTGTTTAATTGTTTGTTTTTTAAATACAGTTTTAGCATACATTTTCAGTCATTTTCTTGGCTAGAAAGAATTGCATTAAGTTTGGTCATTAATTATGCACTCTTCATTTAATTACTTAATTCAGCCAGAAGTTCTTGCACAGGTAGCAGAATATTCTTCTCTTTATACAAAAATCCAACACATGCATTTAGTATTTTATATAAACATCCAGATATGCAGTTAGGCAATGTTCTACTTCATTTGAAGTCAGCAAACAGGCCACATCGCAACGCTCAATAAGCCATACAGAAAATAAAACAACTAAATTGTAATCACACACAAATCCATGATCCAATACTATAAACTGGGAATGGAAAGTGGAGAAGAGCACTATTAGTCAGTAAAGACAATATGATTTAGTCATTCTCTGAAGGAAAAAAAAAACAAAAAAAACCCATGCTGCTACTCAGACCTTCCCCCTCCACTCCTACCCTCCCCAAAAAGAGGGAACATTACTCGTCTGTACCTTGATCCGGTTGACAGGTCAAAAACACTGACAAAAAACATTATCTGCATATTGACAGACGACATCTAACAAGGATAACAGACACAGAGACAGCCCGAAGCAAAACCACAAATGAACTCAGAAACTGATGAACTATAAGCTAGAAATGACACCCAGAAGACAGATAGTCAATCCAAAAAAGCAGAAGGTAATTTCATGGTTGTAAATATGTACTACTGTGATCCACAATCAAACTAGTATTTTTGTTTAAAAGCAATGTTTGAAAGTAAGAAAATTCAGCGTTACAGTTTTGTAAGCACCTGAAGACTTTTACCCATGTATTCCCATCATTTCAGACAGAAGTTAGAATCTACTTGTACCTCAGTCTACCTCTGCTGTTCAAGAGCTCTAGCGTGCGGACTCAAACTGTCAAGCTGAGGAGAAAGGTATGCCACTATTTCTATTGTTGGGCATGTTAAAAAAAAAAAAAGGGATAAACAGCAAAGTAGCTACAGATTTGTGGCTGCACAGCAAAACAGCATGATTATGTGAGTCAGAGTAAAAGTTTAAAAAAGTTATTCTTATACAATTTGAAATTAGGAAGAATTTTAGCATGTTTTACTGTATATTCAGGTGGGCTGGGGAAGGCCTGTTGCTGGTATGAGACAGGTACAATTCATATGTATGGCAAGCAAGGGAACGGTTTGTGGCCAATACATACAACATGCATAATGCTAGACTAATGACATTCCCATCTAAAATAGAAATTCAACTTAATGAAGCTGTACAAGAGGAGAAGTCATAGTAACTTAAGTATAAAACTAGAAAGACTTGAAAAAAAAAAATCAACAAAAGAAACTAGAAAGGAAAAGGAAATTATTTTAATAGATGATCAACAAGAAATCTGAACAAGAACTGGAATATCTAGGAGATCGCCAACAAGACAAAGCAGCTGCTGAAGTATAGCCATTAAATAAAAATACAATTGTTGCTTTACTATGAATTTTAAATAAGGAATGCAAGTGATGTAGCTGATCCAGACACATTATTATCTAACATGAATATCTATCCAAATTAACATTTCAAATAAGAGTAGGAAAATAATTAAGAACATATTACCTGGGCTAGACACCAGGGATAACGTGTTTTAAAGCAAACCAAAAAAAAAAAAAATCTATTTTAAGAAATGTTAATCAACTAGCTTTACTTCAGGTGCTAGGTTGAACTAGCTGAAATGATTAAAACCTGCATTATAAAATATTGAAGAAGATATGACAAGAATTTGTCAGCACTCTGAAAGAAAAGAGCTGAGCTCCTTGTAACTTAAAGGAAGACAATGGCAAAGTTTCTCACAAGAAATTCACTAAGAAAACTAGTCACAGAGTGAGAAAGTACTCATGAACATGGAAACTGCTCAATACATAAAGTAAAGAGTAATTGGTAGGTTATCATTGTGGGGAAAAAATTAACAATAAAATGCCTCAAGACACTAGAAGAGGACAAGGAAACTTCAAGGAACTGAATATTAGTCAACTAGAAAACAGCCCTCTTTTTGGAATGGATGAACAACTAGATGGGTAAAAGCCAGTTGGATTGTCAGGCTCAGAGGGTAATGGTTAATGGGTTGTACCCTAGCTGGAGGCTGGTAACAGCAGGGTACTGCAGGGGTCTATCTGGGAACCTGTCCCATTTAACAACTTTATCCATGACCTGGAGGAGGTGATGTAGCACAGTTTAGAGCAGGTAATGGCATGCACTCTGGTCAAGTTTTTAGATGACACCAAATTGGGGTGGATGGGACTAGTCAACACGCCAGAGCACAGGGCTGCTGTTCAGAAGGACCTAGACAGGCTGGAGGAATGGGCCTACAGGACCTTCACGAAATTCAACAGGGACAAATGCAAAGCCCTACACCTGGGAAGGAAGAGCCCCTAGCAACGATATGAGCTGGGGACTGACTAGCTGGGGAGCAGCTCTGTGGAAAAGGTCTTGGGGGTCTTGATGAATAACAAGCTGAACATGAGCCAGCCATGTACCCTGGCAGCAAAGGCTAACAGCCTCCCAGGCTTTACTAATGAGAGCATAGCCAGTAGATGAGGGAAGCGTTTATTCACTCTACTCAGTGCTCATTAGACCATATCTAGAATAGCACACCTAGCTTTGCCTTGCCCTCTGCCCCAGTACAAGAAACATATCCATAAAGTGGAGCAAGTTATGCCGTGGGCCACCGAGATGCTCAGAGGGCTGGAGCACTTGCCCTGTGAGAAGAGGTTCAGGGAGCAGAGCTTGTTCAGCCTGGCAAGCAGAAGGCTTCAGGAAACCTATTAACGGCCATCCGTACCTATGAGGAAGTCAGCAATGAGCCAGGATCATCACAGTGATCCATGGCAAGGGAACAAAAAGCCATGGGCATAGACTGAAACAAGAGAAGCCCAAGAAACTAGAGAAGACTGGGTATAAAAGCAAATGCTTTTCCCCATAAGGACAGTCAAGCAGTGGAACAGGGTGCCCAGGGAGGGGCTGTACAGTCTCCATGCTTTGAGGTTTAAGACCAGATTGGATAAAATCCCAAGTAACCCGGTCTGGCCTTATAGCTGACCCTGAGCAAGAGGTTGGACTAGACACCTCCTAAGGTCCTTTCCTAATTGAACATTCCTATTATTCCATGAACATAAGGACAGATCGAGTTTAGTGTTGAGAGATTATACATAGGAGAAAAACAAAAAACAAACAAGAAAAACCCTAGCAAATTCCCAATCCAGCAAGAACCTACACTTTACTGTTGAAAGCTATAACAACCTTAGTTAAATAATCAAAAAAAACAAACCCAAAACAACCACCAAGCAAGAGAAAAGTTAAGACTATACATAGGAATCATTCAGGAAATAGTAATAAAAGGATTAAAACGGATCCATAGCGTGTCCTCTTTTAGGATACTATATTTAGGTCCAGCCACCGAAGGCTCAAAGAAAAAAAAAACACACACCAGCATTGCGCTGCAGACCTCCCTCAAAGCAAGATGACACATGACTGAAGCATACAAAAGAAAGCTTACCTTGACAGTGTTGTTACAAATGTCATCCTTTTGCTACTGCAGTAAAATAAAACCTAACCTCCTTACAAAGCAACATGAGAGGACATTCAATTAATTGGCAAATACACTAATTAAAAAGCAGACAAATACCTAGTTATTATACAAATGCAACTTGCAACACCGAATTCCACAAGCCCTTGAAGAGTGTATATTTATACACACAAGAAGATTTATATCAGTTATATAAGCTATAAAACATTAGCTATATAAGCTTTTCTGTTTCTGGCCATGAGATCATTTTCTGAAAGTGAAAGGAAAGTTCTCTGTATTGGCCATTCCATAGGTCTGATCCAGTGCAGCAATTCCTGCATTCCTCTAACTGCAGAACCTGGGCTCCAATTGTCTTTTGTTCGCCTGCTTATGTTAAACATCATTTCATGAAGGGTGATTTGTAGTTTTCACCTTGGAATTTGAATTTCATTAGAAAAAATGTTAGAAAAATGTTGCACAATTTATTTATTGTGTTCTAAAAATTCTAGTATACATTTTTAAAGAAATACATGTTTCCAGCTTTCCCTGACATTGGAGAGTCAAAATTGCTTTACTGGGTAGCTCATCTTAATTTAAATGGCTAACCCTGACAAAGTACCTTCTGAAAACAAAATTAATGAGCAAACTGACCCAAGAAAATTCTGAGTACGTTATTTTCATTTTACTAAAATTAGTTCTTAGGATCGGCTGATTTATTAGAGGTTTTTTAAATCTACAAATATAAAATTTGAAAATATTTAGGTCTTATTTTCCAATGACAATAGTAAAACCTCACTGCAGAAGGGTTG